TGCTAGGGGCGGCTGCCAGGGTCCCTGAACCCGGGGCCGTCTGAGCAGATGCTAAGAGGGCACTTGGAAAGTTTGGGATCGTTCTGAGGGGAGGACGCGAGTTGGGGAGGGAGGGGAACCCGTTTGCTGGGAGCCAGAAGTGGGGGCGTCGGGGATGGGGCCGCTTTTGTTCTCCCAGGGAGGTTGGAATGTGGCGAGTGGGGTGGGGGTGTCCGGCGGGAGCCGCCGGGACAGAGACGCGGAGAGACAAAGAGAGATCAGAGACGGGAGAGCGCGAGGGAGCGCGCTCGAGCAAGTTTCCGTGGCTGATTGTTCCCAGCTGTGCGGCGCCTGCAACATCTGGTTTTCTCCAGCCAGACCCCCAGCCCGGCCTCTGGAACAGACAGAGCCTCCCGCAGAGTGAGTCAGTCAGCGTGGGGGCAGGGGGCTCAGAGTAGGCCCCGCTAGTCCCCCTCCTTCTCAGGCACAGAGGGTAGGGGACGTCCCAGCTGTGGAAGGGGCCAGGGTGGGGAACAGGCCTTCTAGGCAGTCCTGGCCTCCACACACCCAGCAATCCATAGTCTAGAAGTGCCTGGAAATGTGGTCCCTTGGAGGGATCCCTTACTGCCACAGGGCTCTCCTCCTTACCGCCCCACCCCTTGCCCTGGGGCCCCTTTCCCAATAAGCCTCGGCCTGGGTGCCCAGCCTTCTAGGGGAGGAAAAGACTCCATGAAGGGGGCTGAGAGACCTAGGAGGGACTTTGGGGACAGACAGAGTCACCGTCCTCCAGCCTCTTAAGTCCCCAACTTGGGGCCTTCTGAGTAGTGACAGCTCCATCTAACCTGGCTGCCACCAGCCTGGGGGCCAAGCAGGGGATAGTGAGGCCTTGTGGGGAGTTGCCAGGAAGGCGCTCCAGGCCATTAAGTCCCCTTACTATGAGGAGGCCAAAGGTTTTCAGAATGGGGATGTGGGAGCCAGGTGTCCTCTGCCTGTGGGGCAGCTTGTCATGAGTCCCATCTCCTCGCCCTCACCTGGATTTCCTCACCCACTTCATCTGATTGCAGTAAGGGTGGAGAAAAAGAGTGAGAAGCTGAATGCATGAGATGGGCCAGGGGCCATATAGTCTCAGAATCGGGCAGGAGGGAAAGATGCCCATGTTTCTGCCCCTCTCCCTAAATTCCCTGGGCAGGTTGGGGGGAATGCAGTAAAATTAAGTTTCCAGTTAGCTGTCTGGAAGAACACCTTTTGTTGCGGTGGGAAGGGGGCCTTCCTGGATGGATGAGCCCATGGACTCCCTCCCAGCAGAAGGCTGAGAGTCTTGAGGCTGCCTGCCACTGAGCTGACACTGGACATGAGGACCTGTAAATTCTACCAAGTCCACTATGTGGCCAAAGACTGGAGGCCGGACTCAACCAGTTCTTGAAGTTCAAGAGCTTGGTGAAGGCTATGGACCACTGCCCTCTCCCCAAAAAACTACACACATAACACTTGTCATACAATGTGGGGGGTTCAGAACCCCTGGGCTGGGTGACAGCACGGTCCCCTTCAGCGCTGCCCTTTTAGGATCCAGAGAAACCCTCCTCAAACTCCACCCTAACTGCTTCCCGCTGCAGCAGACAAATAGACCTCAGTCTCGTGAGTGTGTGATGAAGTCAGCCAGGTCTTAGGAGGCCTGGAGGCCTGGCAGAAGAATCTTCTCAGGGTGGGAGCCCTGCCCAGGCCTGGCTGCCCCAGGGGCCCCTGAGGCCCGTGCACACATGTGGTTTCCTGCTGAGCAGGATGTTCAGGGCCCAGGGGCTAATTGGGAGCAGGCAGTGGGTTTGGCAGACTGCTGAGTCTGGGCTGTGATGTTGGCTGTGCAGGATTGGGGTCCCAAGGATGGGCCTGGGGTCAGGGATCCGTGTGATCAGTGCGTTAGACACCTGGGGAAGTGCTGGACCAGAGGGTGGGCATGGGTGTGTGGGCAGGGACAGGGCTGATAGGGGATTAGAACCCTCCATTCAGTGAGCGGGGCAAGGTAGGGTCTGTTTGTCAGGATCAGTCCTGAAGACAGGCTGGAGGCTGTGTCCCTTGGAACCTGAACACCCAGTAGGCCATCAGGGACCAATGTCCCTCCAGAGTAGTCCCCTTCCTCCTGGGCCCAGACTCCGTGACCCTCCATATGCCTGGGCTTCTTTTCCTGGGCTCCCCTTCTCCCGGGTGAATTCAGGGGATCAGAAGTGGGCTCTGAAGTCCTGGGGTAGTGGCCCGGGATGCAGCTTGCCCCTCCTCTTCCTCCAGCTGTCCCCTGACACCAGCCCAGCCCACCTCACTGTGTAGCCATGAGAGCTGCCTACCTCTTCCTGGTATTTCTGCCTGGTAAGTGGCTTCTGGGGCTGGTGGGGCTCCCCTTATGTGGGTGGAAGTGGGGCTTGTGGGGGGAGGGAGCTGGCAGTGAGCTTCTGTCGTGCCCTGTGGCCAGAACTCAGCTCCCTGGCTCCCAGGGCCTCCTACCTCCTGGACCACAGACTGGGCCAGCCAACCCCTCCCAAAGTCTGGAGGCGTCTCCTGGACCCTCCCCCCAACCCTCCACAGCAGCAGACTGGAAGGATTCTGGGGAGTGGGCACACACCCAGGCACCAGGATCCACACTTTTTCTTTTACTTACTGACCCTCCCGGGAGCTGATGTGTAGTAATAGGGGGCGTCCAAGGCAGTCTGAAGGCCTGGGTTCTAGATCCCTTTGGGACTCAACTACCCTATGCAGTCTTGACCTTGAGAAGTTATCAGTGGGGATCACAGAGGCTGTGCAGGTCTAACAGTCATTCATTTAATAGATATTTGTGGAGCTCCTAGTATGTGCCAGGCAGTGGGCTAGGCCCTGGGGATACAGTGATGAGTCAGGCAGACAAATCCCTGTCCTTGTGGTGTTGCCTGCCAGTCTAGAGAAGGGAGGCTGATGTTATCAAGTAGATTAATAAATGTCAGATTGAGTTGACTGCTATGGAAATAACTGGGAGGATGAGATGGAGAGGGTGGTGGGCCAGCGAGGGCCCCTTAGCAGAGCTGCAATTTCAGTTGAGATGAGACTTGAAGGAGGAGAAGCTGACCAAGATCAGAGGTCCAGAAAGAGTCAAGTGCAAAGGCCCTGGGGCAGGCAGAAGCAGGCCCAGTACCAGGAACAGCGAGAGGCCAGCATGAGGGAGAAGGTAGGATAAGGTCAGCGAGGTTACACAGGACCAGGGAGTATAAGGGCCTTCAGAGTGAAGGAAGGAATTTGCATCCTGTGGGTCTAAGAGTCTGTTGTAGGATCTTCAGGTCTTATAGGCCTACCCTGGGGACCTCTACCCCCCCTCCCTAGAAGTGCCGTGGGGCCTCTGCTGTCCTTCCCTGCCAGGCACCACCTCAGCTTTGCCTTTTCCTCACAGCAGGCCTGCTGGCTCAGGGCCAGTATGACCTGGACCCGCTGCCTCCATTCCCAGACCATGTCCAGTACACCCACTATAGCGACCAGATTGGTAAGGCCTTACCACCCCCAGGCCTCCCCCATCCCTGCTCCCCAGATGCGCATGGCTCAGCCAGGGACCTGGTTGGGTAGCACAATGGCAATCTTGGGGTGTGGCCCCTGGCTCACTTGTGACCTGGGGCTGGGGACTAGTCTGATCCCCACCAATTACACTTTCATCTTTATTTTCAGACAACCCTGACTACTATGATTATCAAGGTAAAGGACAGGGGCAAGATAGGATGGGTGGGCAGCTGGGTGGGCAGCCCATGGAGACCTGCAGGGGGATGTGGAGGAGGGAGCAGACCCCCTTATCATCTCCCATTGCAGAGGTGACTCCTCGGCCCCCCGAGGAGCAGTTCCAGTTCCAGTCCCAGCAGCAAGTACAGCAGGAAGTAATCCCAGCCCCCACCTTAGGTAAGCCACAAGCTCCAGCCAAACCCAGGAGTGGGTGGGGTGGTCTGTGCTGGGGCTGGGAGAGGGGACCTCTCCTGCTCTGAACAGACCCCTCCCAATGATCTCTGCCTGCCTCTCCCCCTACACCAGAACCAGGAAATGTAGAGACGGAGCCCACGGAGCCTGGGCCTCTGGGTAAGAGCCTTCCTGACAACTGGAGAGACAGAGGCATGGTCCCAGAAGTTAGGGGGCAGTGGGGCATGGCACTGGGAGGACAGAGACAGCCCGGGTCGATGGTGGGGTGAGGGGCTTGTAGACGTGTCCCTGCAACTCCAGGGCCCCCAAGGTGGCTCCAGGAGATCCCTCTGCCCCCTGGGCCTGGCTGGAGGCGGAGTTGGCTGCAGCCTTAGGAGGGGCCCTCTGCTCCCAGACACTGGGGTGGGGCGGGAGCATGCTGGGGGCTTACTGCCAGCAGGATGGGGTGGTGCTCATGGCAGCCGAGGTGAGGATGGGGCAGAAAGCCCAGGCTGGCTCAGCGGGCCTGCCCCAGCCAAGAGCCTGAGACAGCCAGCCTGTGTGTGAGGGACCCTGTCTCACAACTCAGTGTGTGTGTGTGGACCTCTTGTGAGGTTGCTGTGGACTGTTGTGACTGTGTGGGTATAGATTTGTGTTTGAACTTGTGTGTTTCAATATATGCTTCTGAGCGTGGCTGTGAATTTGTGTGTGTGTAAATACACTGGGTAACATCGGGCAGCCTGGGAAGGGCCAGCAGTGCGGTGTGTGCATGTGTTGGGGTGTGTCTAGGCTTGGCCTGAGGGTGCAGGGGTCCCTAGGCCCGGAGAGCCAGTCTCCACGGGTGAGGTGCTCTGAGCCTCAAGCTGAAGCCCCCAGTCTGACCCCACCTGTCACTCAGACTGCCGCGAGGAGCAGTACCCGTGTACCCGCCTCTACTCCATACACAAGCCTTGCAAACAGTGTCTCAACGAGGTCTGCTTCTACAGGTGAGCACGGGCTGGCAGGCGGGTGGCGGAGGGGGGATGACAGCTCGCTCCAGTGGCCAAGGTGTGATTGTGGGGAGAGACTGCCAGTCCTGAAGTTGAGCTCAGCTCTGGTTAAGCTCAGGCCTGGGGGCCATGACTTGGGCTCCAATGCCAGGTCCTTTCTGGGCTCGCCCAGTAGCGCTGAGTGAGGGTGGGGCTGACACCTCTGCCGGCCCCATCCCCTCAGCCTCCGCCGCGTGTATGTCGTCAACAAGGAGATCTGTGTCCGCACAGTCTGTGCCCACGAGGAGCTCCTGCGAGGTAGGAAGGACTCCACCCCCGCCCTCCCCCCACCCCTACTCGTTGTCCAGCCATGTGTCCACCGACCTGATGTTTATGAAACATGGGTCATATGCTGGGGCCACTTCCAGGGGTTCGTGGGCTCCCCTCCTGGCTGCTTTTTATCTATCTCCTGTCACCAGGGATGGGGAGGGGGTGGCAGTTCCCATCACCTACCCTCACTCTGACCCCAAATCCTTCCTGCCCCCTCAACAGCTGACCTATGCCGTGACAAGTTCTCCAAATGTGGCGTGATGGCCAGCAGCGGCCTGTGCCAGTCCGTGGCCATTGCCTGTGCTAGGAGCTGCGGGGGCTGCTAGGGTGGAGCTGGCACCCCAAGCCCTGGCCCCTCCTTGGATCTGGGGCCCTTCGGCTCTACCTGACCTGGTGCTTTTCTCCCCAGCCCAACATTCCTTTTATTCTGTAAAAAGTTAGTGGACTGTAGCCCTGGGGGGTTGCCTCAGGCCCCTCCCCCAGCCTGTGGCCACCCCTGGGGCACAAGGGGGTGCTCCCTAATGCCCAGTCTTCGCCCCCAGGTGGGGGACAGCCCAGGCCTCTCTACGGGGTCTGGGCCCCTGACGTGCCTTCTCAGTCCCTCTGAGGACAGTCCCCCACTCCAGGCCCACCTCCCCCCAAGGTAGGCTCTGACCCTCACCCCAGCTGGTCTGCTTGGATTTCCTACAGCCCCTGGGCATAGATCACCCTTGTTTTATACAAAATTAAAAACAGGTTTTTACAAAAGGTTCAGAGTCACTTTTTCAGGCAGGAGCACAGAGGAGATGGCCTGCGGCCTCCAACACTGCTCGTCCGCACCGAGAGGCTACCCGGCCGCTTCAGGAGAAGGCCATGTTCCAGCGACCCATGGCCTTGCCTCTGCGCTCCCAGCCCTGCCTCCTCACCCACCCGCTTCAGCTCTGACCTGCCCAGAAAGATAGGCCATGACACCTGCCCCCCAGGGGTGTGTGTGTGTGTTGCAGAGGGTTGTATCAAAAAATAGAAGGTTCAGGAATACAGTTTTCTCATTGTCAGGGCTGCTTGGTGAGGCTGTGAGTCCCCCATCATCAGAGGGGGTGCCAGGCAAGATGGGAGGCCACCGTGTGGAAGGGTGTGTATAGAGTGTAAGGCCAGAGGTCAAGGTTGGTGGACTCTGATATCAGGGGCTTTTGCAGGGAGGGAAGGCTGGTGCAGTTCAGAGAATAGAAACAGGGAAGCCGCTATAACACCTCCCTCTGACCAGCAATCTATGAAGGCTCACACATCATCTTATTTAACTCTCCAAACAGGCCTACTTGTTGGCTACACTTAATGTTCCCATTTTACAGACAGGCAACTAAGCCTAGAGGCATTACATAACCCACCCACGGGTCCACAGCGATGTGGTGGGGCTGGGGCAGAGCCTGACCCCACTGGACTCCATGAGATGACACTGCTCCTTGGAAACACAGACTGAGCCCCTGGTTCCTTGTGTACTTCCTCACAGCCACCCTGGGAAGCAGGCTCCCATTTTACAGATGAGCAAACTGAAGCTCTGACCTGTTAAGCAGCTTTGTGCAGGATCACCCAGCGGAGCCAAGGCAAGACCGCACGTCCACTCCCAGGCCTGCACTTGTTCCCCACGTTACCTGGGAGGCCTGTCACTGTCCAGAGGGTGGGCCCTGTCCTCAGGAGGGGCCAGAGAAGAGGGCAGAAAGCTTCAGCTGCAAAGAGTTGAGCTGTGGAGTTTGGGTCCCAGCCCCAAGCCTCCAAAGTCCCATCTGTTCAAGGGGGTGGGTGGTACAGGACCCCAGAGGCCTCCCCACCCTGATATCCTGGGGGGTTAGGAAAAGGCCTTTCTGGGGGGTTCAACACAGGGCTTTCTGAAGCCTCCCCCATCCCCCTAAGCACACCTCACCAGGGGACACCATCTCTCTTGCCCCAGACCCCTCCTGTTCCCCTCCTATCTTCTGGGTGGAGACATATTAATAAAGGGACACATCTGTACAAACCATTTTAAAAAATGGGGTCGTCTTGTTACAAAAAACAGAACAGTTCTGAACAATTAACATTGTAAAAAGGTACAAAAATACAGGGACTCTGAATTCTCTGAAGAATTCCCTGACAAACACTCTGAACTAAGGCGGAGAGACCTCTGGGAAGCCAGAGGAGGGCTTGGGTCTCCGGCCCCGGCCCCAGGCCTGGACACCCCTCCTCTTTCCTGTGAGCCTGTGCTCCAGGCCCAGCCAGAGACAAGGGGGTCTCTCTCCAACCCCTGGGTTTGGCTCCGTCACTCTCAGGGAGGATCACATACAATCTGCACTGGCTCATCCCAGGGGCGAGGGGCTAGACTGAGGGGGCCCACAGAGAGTGGGTGGCTCTGATGAGGCTGGGAGACCGCTGCTGGGTCTGGCTTGGTGCTGGAGTCCCCGTCCCGCAGCACTGCCATCCCTGCTCCTCCTCACCCCTAGCTGAGCTCTGGGGGCCTAGGCCTTGGGTAGACTGTGCAGAGAGGAGGCCCCTGTCCTGCCCTGGCCATGGGGCGGCTCTTCAGGACACCAGCTGGGAAGATGCTCACTTCTCTGGGGGGCCGGAGGAGGGAGAGAAGGATGCTGAGCTCCTTCGAAGCTCCTGGTGCAACTGTCCCTTCAGTGTGGACACCTGGAGAAGAGAGGAGGTAAGGCCAACCCAGGACCCCTACCTGGTCTCAGAGAAGTGGGAGGTTACTAACAGATGGACCCTAAGCTGCAGCTGGGACTGGAAGGGACCTAGTGCTGCCTGTTTCAGGAGAAACCAGGTCTCATTAAAAGCCAGGGTATGTCCACCCTTTTTTATCTTGCTCTGTGCAGCAGTTGGGTGTCTGTTGACTGCTCAGCATCTCTTTAGGGGCCACCCATCCCCTCTCTCACCACTAGGATAGGCCTGGCACTAGCCCGATTCCAGGGGTGGACCTGTGAGCTAGGCCAGGCCTGCCAGAGCAGCCTTGCCCTGCAGACATGATCAGGGCAGAGATGGTGATGACGGGGCCTGCAATCTCAGTTGGCCAGTGAGGATCATCGTTGGGGCTGTTGCTGTTGCTCTCAGGAAGAAGGGCCCCTCTCTCCTCTGGGGTCATAGGTGATTAGGATAATCTGAGGCTGGAGCTGCTGAGGCCACCTGTGCCACCCAGGGAGACCGCCTGCCCAGCATGGAGCCATGGCAAGGGGACTGAGTTCCAGTGACATCACTTGAGCCCCTGTGTTCAGCCATGGCTGATACCAGCATAGATCCCCCTGGACCACTTCAGCTATGGGTGCCATCGACCCCTTATACCTAAGAGGTTAACTCCAGCCCCCTCCCCCTCCCCCTCTTCCAGCTCCAAACTTCCACCCCAGTGCAGATTCCTGAAGGGGGAGTCCTGCTGGTACTGCATCCCCCTGGGGAGGGGCCGGAGCCCACCAGGCCTGAGTACCTGCTCTTCCAGCCCACGAACCCTCTGCCGGTGGGCCCGCTCCCGCGCCTCCAGGGTGCGCTCTGTCTGCACCTGGGCACTGCGTAGACGCTCCACTTCCTGCTGCAGCTCCAGCTGCTGCTCATCCGCCTCCAGCCGGGCTGGGCTATGGTTCTGCTCCAGCGCCACCACCTGGGCCTGCGGGAAGGGCGGCTCATCAGGCCTCTGGCCCTGTGTGTGTGTGTGTGTGTGCGCGTGTGTGTGCATCTATGTGAAGGGGTGTCAGGCACCTCCCCGGGGTGGAAGCCTAAGGGTCCCTTGGGGCCAAGCAGGGGATGCAGATGTTTGTCTTCCACCCCCAGCCCTCCTGGCCTGCAAATCCTGGGTCAGGGTATTTAGTGATCCCCCAACTCTGGCGTGCAACACACATACCTATTCAAACAGAGAAGCCCAAGTACATATCGTCATAAAAGCAAGCATGTAAATGTGTGTGTTTACACAAATGCATGCATAAAAGCGCAGTACTCTTACATCTACATACATGAAGACATCTATCTGCACCCAAAGGTACAGACCCTTAATTCACAGGCCCCTAAGACTTAGATCTGCCACATCCATCCATGCACAAGGTTCTCCCAGGTACACTCAGAGCTCTTCATGTCCACAACATACATGAACACACAGCCTTCTGTGCAGACAGGTCTTTAGCATCTCTTTTCTCTCCACTTTGGGGAGGACCCCTCGCTTGGGACGCGGCCCTGAGCTGCCCCCTCTTACGGATCTGGGCTTGTGGGTTGTGGGGGTTGAGAGCTCTGGGCTGACTGAGCCATCAGCTCCTCATGGGACGGCCTGGCACTCAGGCTGGGGGTGAGGTTGGGTCCAGGCCAAGGAGAGATGGTATCTAGGGCTGGGTGGGCGGGGGCTAGACCTCCAACAGCTGGATCTGCCTCTGGGCCTCAGCCAGCTCGAGCTCAGCCCCCGTGAGTGTGCGGTCCAGGCGGCCCTTCTCTGCACTCAGCCGCACCGTGTCCTCGTGACTGCGAAGCTTCTCCCGTTCCACCTAGGTGGGAGAGCAGGAGGGGATCAGGGCGCCCAAGAAAGGAGGGAGGTCCCAGGAAGAGAGAGAGGCTCAGAGAGGGGTGTCAGATTAGAGGCAGCAGGACCATCTGAGGCCCCCTGACCCTAGGGACATACAGCTGGGACCAACCATGGCTAGAGCCCAAAGGAAAAGAAGGGAGGGCTCTGGGGGCACAGCTCACCTTGTCCAGCGTCCTCTTGAGCGCCACCCGGTCCTTCTCCAGCCGCAGGGCTGACCGCTCCACCTCCCGCTTCTCAGCCTCCAGCTGAGCCAGGGCGTGCTGCAGGCTGCCCAGGCGCTCCTGCAGCAGCCGCCGCTCATCCTGCAGCTTCTGGACCGTGTGCAGGGCCGCAGCCTCACCCTCTTGCCGTTGCCGCAGCACCTGCAGCATAAGCCAGTGAGTCCCTCATCCGTCTGGGCCCCAGGGTTGCATCCAAGGCTTGGGGATGATGAGGCCAGCCTGCTGTGCCCCTTCACTAGGCAAGGCGACTGTGAGGCCTACATCAGGCAACTGTCGCCTGAGGCCAGACAGTTCTCTCCCGGCCTCAGCTTCTCCATCTGTATGATGGGGACAGGGGCTGAGTGAATCATGCTCCCTCACAGGAGGCTGCGCCTGGGTTTGGGATGAGGTTGTAGTAGGTGGGAAGGTCCTGACCTTGTCCCAAGGGCCTCGTGGTCCTGGGGATGAGGAGCCTGCCCTGACCCTCACCTCCTGCAGCTGTTGCAGCTGGCCCTCGGCCTCTGCCCGCTGCAGCTCCAGGTCCGCAAGCTCGCCCCGCATCGTCTGCACCTGCTCGCCCAGGGAGCTGCTCTGCTTCCGGGCCTCGGATAATGCCTGCCGAGCGGCCTCCAGCCGTTCCTGGGAGACAAGGGCTAATGGTGCCAGGCTGGCCTGGGAGCCCTGAGGCAAAGGGCTCCCCTCTACTAGGTACCTCCAAGCCAGGCTCACAGCCCACAAAACAGGTAGTCCTCTCACCTGGAGAGTGAGCCAGACAGTAGGCCTTGCCCACGGCCTATCCACTGACCTGTACAAGGTGGGGACCCCGCAGACCCCAACTCTCCCCCATTAGCCTGCCCCTGGGTCCCTCAGCCCATCCTACTAGGTAGGCTTGGGCCCACCTCCCCGCCAGAGCCTCCTCTCATTGGCCAATGCTCTTATTGGGTGCACCCCCCTCCCTCAAAGCCAGCTCTCATTGGCTCCTGGGTTCCCAGCCCACTGCCCTAGGGGCTGGCTCTCCACCAGGGCCTCTAAGCCTGCCTTGGAGGCTAACTCTCTCACTGGGCCCACCCACAGCCAGACCCTGGAACCCCCATACTTGGAGCACTTGGCGGTCATGTTCACAGGCGGTCAGGGCCTTCTGCAGTTGTAGGTTCTTGTCCTGGGTGCTGGTGAGGCTGGCGCTTCTCTGGGCCAGAGCCTCCGTCAGGCCCTGCACTTTGTCCCGCAGGGTCCCCTCGCTCTCTTCCACCTTGGCCAGGGCCCCGCTCAGCCGCTCCACCGTCAGCTGCAGAGTCCCCGCCTTCACCTCACTGTCTGCCACCTGGAAAGAGGACAGGATGGTCCAGTGACTCTGTTCCGTTTGTGTCAGGTGGGCCTAACCTAAGCCCTGCCCACCTCTCTTTGTCACTGATGCTTATTGTTCCTTTGCACTCCCTCTGGCTCCGCTGGCTGCAACTTGGGCCGGTCGCACTGCCAGTTCACCACCACACGGGTGCCATTAACCCGGGAGTCCCAGTCCTTGTGGTCTCCTCTTTGTTCTCATTCCCCTCACTCTCCCCACTATGGAGGAAAAAGGGTAACCACCACAACCCTGATATTTTCTGTCTTCTTAACCTTGGTGGCTGACAGTGTAGGGCTAGCAGAGTTACTGAACTCCAGTGAGAGCTGAGCTTCCTGGCAGCCAAGGCAAAAAATGAAAATGAGTGAAATCTATGTCTCTAACTTGTCCCATATGCTCCTTTGAGTACAGACTCCGTCATCAGACAGTCCTAAATTCTAATTTTGAGTCTGCTTCTTATTACCCATGCGATCTTGGGCAATGACATGACCTCTGTGAACCTCCATCTGTCCATCTGTGAAATGGGGTGATGATACTTGCCTCACCGGGTTGTTGGGAGGATCACATAGTCCCTGTAGTGTACTTGGCACAGGGCACGCAGATGGGGAGCCTGCAGCTGGGGAAGGGGACCCACCTGTCTCTGCAGGGAGTCCACCCGCTCCTGGAGAGCCTGGGCATGGGCCTCTCGGTCGCTCAGGCCCAGGCGGCTGCGCTGCAGTTCCCCCTCAAGTGAGCGCCGCTGCAGCTCCAGCTTTATGGTGCGGCTCTCGGAAGCGTCCAGCACCTCCTTCAGACGCCGCTTGTCACTCTCCAGCTTTCCCTCATTGGCCTTCATCTTGCTGATCTTCTCCTGTGGGGCGGGGAGGGCTCAGGCCCCATTTCTGCAGTACCCCCCCCACCTCCCGCATCCCTCAGGAGAAAGTGGGGAGCAGCCTCGAAGGGGCTGGTCCAGCCACTTGCTGTATGATCCAGTGCTGGTCCCTGACACTTCTTGGGGCCTCAGCCTCCCCATATGTTCACAGGATGGGTTGACTTGGGGATCCCAGAGGATTTTCTAGTTTTGCCCGTCACAGAGGCTGTGACCCAGTATCAACTCTCCCTCCCTGCTCTCTGGCCCTATTTCACATTGTATGGTGGGGGGACTGGATTGGTCCAGGGATACCACAACCTGGGTATTCACAAAGCCCTGGGAGTTGGGTATAAAAATGCAGATTCCAGGGCCTTCCTCTCAGAGGCTGGCCCAGAGCTGCCTGTGGGACTTGAGCTGAGTCAGGCGGGAGCCTTGGGCCCTACCGGGTTTTAAGGGATGATAATCCTCCCTTCGCCTCGTGGGGTCAGCCGGTGAAGGAGACTTGGGGCATGAGGATGGGGCAGGAGGACAGACTGGGGTCCTTCTCTTCCTTTTACCATCCAAGAGACAGGCGGGTCAAGGGGGTGTTATTACAACAGCCCCCCAGGCCTGGGCTCTCTTCCACCCTGCTCAGAGCCCCAACCCTGCCATGTCTGGGCCCAGCAGCCCCACTCTGGCTCCTACCCAGCTTTGTTCCCGGCCTCCTCCCGCGGCCCCTGCGGCTGGGCCCAAGGCCAGACCTGGAGCCGCAGACACAACAATCCAGCTCAAGCTTGGCCTAGAGCCAAAGGCAGGGGGTGGGCTGTAGGGGCAGTCATGGAGGGCCAGGGGAGGAAAGGGGAGGGAAGGGGGCGGATCTGTGGCTGTAAGAAGGGCTCAAGGCTTCAGCAGCCTGGACCATCACCACCAGGGCCTGTGCTTCTTGCCCCAGACATGCACACGCACACACAGATGTCTCCCAAACCCACATAAAACCCCCAGAACACCACGTGTGGCTATATAGAGATTAAGGAAGCAGAGGTCCCTTGAGCACCGTCTATGTGTCAAGAGTGTAGGTGCATTGTCTCTGGGAGATAATTATTGGTCTCCCCATTCTGTAGAAGATGAAAATGAGAATTACACAGCAGGGCAAGGACTTGAACCCAGATCTGTTAGCCTCCAATGCCCAGGCTCTTTCTTCTATAGCCTAATGACCTCAATATGAAACAAGATGATGAAATCTGAATGTGCTTTTGGAGAGTCACAGGCTGGTCACTTCAGTGGCTGCTGAGAGCCCCAGGCAGATGAACAGGGATACACACAGGAGGACTTACTGACATCCATTCAGGGTCACATAGATCTGCCCCACCCCCTCCCCTTGGCCCTCAGCTCCTGCCCACCTGGCTGGCCCGAAGCTCACTCTCGGTGGCCTGCAGGCTCCTCTCCAGGGCGGCCACCTGGTCCAGCACTGCCCGGTGCTCCCGCTCACTGCGCCGCACGCTCTCCTCTTGCAGCGCCAGCTCCGCCTGGGCCCCACTCAGCCGTGCATCCACGCTGCGCCGGGCTGCGGCCCCCACCCAGCCCCATCAGGCCTGGCCAGGCACAGCCCTGAGACCTGAACCAGGCCTGCCCTCCTCCTATCCCAGGGCCCGCCTCTGCGAGGGTCTGTGGGTCTGGACATCGGGTGGGATTGGCCAGGGAGGGTCCCCCAGGGGAGGCAGCCCCTGACTCAGGCCATGGTGGCCAGGGCAGGAATGCAGCAGCAGCTCAGGCCAGTCTAGCGGCCTCCCATCTCAGCTGCTAAGAGAACAAGAGAGCAAGGACCCAGGCAGTCAGACCCACCTTCCTCACTCTCGGCCACAGCCTTCTGCAGCTGCCTTGCCCGTGAGCTTGTACTGTCCCTCTCGGCCTCCATCTCAGCCAGCTGGCGATTCAGGGTGCTCGTCTGGGCCCGGAGCTCATCCTGCAGCCCCAGTGTCGGTGAGGAAGGAAACATCCCTGCTCTGACGACCTGCAGCCCCTCACAGGGCCCTTAGCCACTCGGTTTCCTCTCCAGCCACTCACACCCCACCATACCCGTTCCCTCTGGGCGCTCCGCAGCTCCTGCAGGAACTCCCGGAGGGCCCCCCGCACTGCTTCCGGGTCCAGGTCTGGAGATGCTGGGGAGGTGGCAGGTCCTGGGGATGGTGGCTCGGACCCAGGGCTGCGTTCCAAGGGGCTGGAGCTGCTGAGCCCTTCCCCACTTCCTGGAAAAGGAGATATGCTCAGGGATGCAGGAGGCACTGGCCTCTCCTGCTTGGATGGCGCCTGCAGGCTCCTAATGCATCTTATCCACCCCTGCTGTGGCCAGCAGCCCACGTGAGCTTCCCACAGCACAAACTGGGTCGCTTCACCCACTTGCTTAACCCTTCACCAGCCCCCACAACCCTCAGAATCAAGCCCAACTTCCCTGTCACCACCTGCTGCTCACTCCGGCATCACCCTCTCTCCCTTTATGAGCTGGCTACTTCACATCACCCACAGCTCCCACGTTCTAGAACACCCCCTCTTATAAAAGCACTAGGGCCTTTGTACTTGCTGAACCCCTCTCTCCCTGTGGCTTCTCTTTGCCTGGCCCATTCCTTTAGGCTTAAATGTAAAGATCACTTCCCAGAGGCCTCCCTGACCCCAGGCTGGGTTTGGGTGAGCTCATCCCCTTACAGGGGTCTGATGTCTGCTTCCCCACCCAGACCCCAAGCGCCATGAAGGCTGCATCCCCAGGGCCCAGTCCAAGGACGGACACTCCATCACCTCTACGCCTCCCTGTACTGAGTGCTTACTATGTGCCGGGCATGGGCCAATGCCTGCCCTACATCACCTCGTTTCATCCTCACAGTAATTCCCTGAGACGTAAGGACCAATTTCCCCCTTCATAGGCTGGGAGAGCTCAAAGCAGTTAAATGATTTGCTTGGTCTCAAAGATGGGAAGATCCTGAGCCGGGATTTGAATCCAGGTGCCCCTATTTCCCAGCTGAAAAAACGAGCTCTCCTTGGGAGATGATGGGCTAGGAAAGGGTGGGAGGGGGCGGGGTGGACAGAGACAGGACGGCACCTGGAGGTCAACACAGGAACTGCAGGCTAGAGGGTCCGCGTGCCCTTCACATCCTCCTGCCTCTGCCAAGAGACACCCAAACTGCCCCACAGCTCTGTCAACACCCAAAGGACCCAGAGCAGGACGTCTACCCACTGCCTTCATCCCCTCAGAGTAAAGCCAGCACCCTCATGGTGGCCTGCAAGGACTATAGGAGCTGGTCCTGCACCCTGTGCCTCCTCTCTCACACCGTTCCACCTTGCTTGCTACACTCCGGCTGCTCTCGGGCCCTTGCTGTCCACAGGACAGGGGTCCTCCCACACAAGACCTTTCCACGGTCCTCAGTCTCTTCTCCCAATCTCCCCTTAGCTACCACCTCCTCAGGGAGGCTCTCCCTGCCTCCCACACAACATCCGAGCCCCGCCCTTGTCTTCTTCTTCAAAAATCTTTTATTGTGATAAGGTATATATAACAAAATATGACTTTCCGACCACCTTTACGTGTATCATTTAATTATATTCACGCTGCAATGTGAACATCACCACTGTTTCTAAATCCTGTCCATCACTCCTATTATGAGTTGAATTGTAACACCTCAGCATGTGACCTGATTTGGAAATCCAGATGTGCTAGATGTCACTAGTTAAAATGAGGTCATAAGTAGGGTGGACTTTAATCCAGTATGATTGGTGTCCTTACAGAAAGGGGAGATCTGGACACATCCTCGAGGAGAACTCTCTAAAGACTGAGGTTAAGCTGCTATGAGTCAGGGAACTACCGGAAGCTAGGAAACCTGGAACAAATTCTCTTCTAATGCCTTCAGTAGGAAGGCCCTGCTGACAACCTGACCTTGGACTTCTGGCCTCCATGCCCTTGAGGCACAAATTTCTGTTGTTTGAGCCACAAAGCCACTCAGTTTGCGGTACTTTGCAATAAGCAGTCCTGGGAGACTAATACAACCCCAAACTCTAAACTGGTAAGAAATAACTCCTAATGTTCCCCTCCCCACAACCCCTGGTAACCTTTAATTTCTGTCCCCATGAATGTCCATTCTAGGTATTTCATATGAGTAGAATCATACTGTATTTGCCCTTTTGTGACTACCTTATTTCACTTAGCCTAATTTCAGAGTTTATCCATGTTGTAGCAGGTATCAGAATGCCGTTTCTTTTGAAGGCTGAATAATATTCCATTTACATAGATAGCACATTTCGTTTGTCCATTCATCCGCTGATGCACACTTTGACTGCTTCCACCTTTTGGCTATTGTGAATAGTGCTATGATGAACACTGGAGCACAGTTTCTAGGCAAGCGTCTATTTTCAATGCTTTTGGGTATATGCCTAAGGGGTGGAATTTTTGGGTCATATGGAAACTCTAAGTTTTTGGTTTTTTTGAGGAACTGCCAAACTGTTTTCCACAGTGGCTGCACCATTTTTTATTCTCACCAGCAATATTCCTTATTTTTTCTTACCTATTTTCCAGCTCTTACCACCACCCATTAAATAATTCTATATTTAACTTATACATCACATTTACTGTGTGGTACTCCCACACCCAGACCGTAAGCTCCATAAAGGCAGAAATGTTTGTCAGTTTTCTTTTCTGCTCCATCCCCAGTGCTTACACTGTATGTGGCTTAATAAATAGAGTAGCTAAATGGACAAATTCAGCTAAATGGGCTAAATATGTCCTGAAGAGGCAAGGACTCAATGTCTCATAGTGCATTTCCCACAGTTCCGAAAGTCCACAGGTTTTCTAGGCCTAGGAATCAAGATGAGATTGGGGTCAGGCTGAGACAAGATGAATGCTCCCAAAAAGGCTACCTGCACCCCCTGAAGCACCCTCCCAGCATCATCCACTGGGTCTTGGGAGCAGGTGGGGCTGGGAGGATCTGTTCCTGGAAGGGATTTCAGGCTGAGTGTGTATCTGTCTGGGGGAGATATCGGGTTCATAGGCCTGGTATGAAGGGGTGTGGAGCCAGCGACGGAAGAATGCACAAGATAAGGTGCTGAAGGAGAGAGGTAGGGGTCACAGAGGATGGAGGCACAAAGACTCAGAGGAGTTAGGAGCATTAAGAAGTGGAACTCTAATGGAAAGAAAAGGGAACCCTCCTACACTGTTGGTGGGAATGTAAACTGATGCAGCCATTATGGAAAACAGTACGGAAATTCCTTAAAAAGACTAAATCTACTTTTGGACTTACCATATGTTGCAACAATCCCAGTCCTGGGCATGTATCCGGAGAAAACTTTCATCCAAAAAAATACTTGCAGCCCTATTTCATACCCGCACTATTTACAATAGCCAAGACTTGGAAGCAATGTAAATGTTCATCGACAGACGAGTGGATAAAAAAGATGTAAATATACACAGTGGAATACTACTCAGGCAAAAAAAGAGAGTAAAATAATGCCATTTTTAGCAATATGGATGGACCTAGAGATTGTCATACTAAGTGAAGCAAGCCAGAGAGAAAGAAAAATAGCATATGACATTACTTATTTGTGGAATCTTAAAAAATGACACAAACATTTACAAAAGAGAAATAGACTCAGACATAGAAAACAAACTTATGGTAACGCGGGGAAAGGGGGTTATGTGGAGGGATAAATTGGGAGTTTGGGATTTGCAGATACTAACTACTATATGTAACATAGATAAATGGCAAGGTCCTACTGTATAGCAGAGGGAACTATAGTCAATATCTTGTAATAACCTATACTGAAAAAGAATATGAAAAAGTATATGTATAAATGTATAACTGAATCACTATGCTGCACACTAGAAACACAACATTGTAAATCAACAGCACGCGAATTAAAAAAAAGATGCGGCACCACCTACTTACTCCCTTTAAAAAGGAATCTACAGTGCGCAGCCTCAGTGAGGGGCGGGGCTGAGGCTAGGCTCAGGAGGGACGTGGCCCAGCCAATGTCCCCAGTGATCTAAGGGGCGGGGCCCAGGTGGGCGGGCCTCAGCAAGGAGATGAGACTGGCCGAGGGGGCGGGGTTTGAGGCTGGTCATCAAAAAAGCGGCCGAAAGGGCAGGCACGGCCAAGGGCAGCCCAGTAGGCGGGGCAGAACTAGACAGGGGCATCCGACGCTGGGGGCGGGGACTCTTCGACTGACTCTCCCTTTCTCCGAGGAGCTTGCTTACCTCCTGCAGGCGCGCTCCGACT